TAATAATAATAATAATAATAATAATAATAATAATAATAATAATAAAAACATTTGTTCTGCAAATCTGGAATTTATAATTTATTAATACTAATTTAAAACAGGAAGTATAAAACATATGTACATTTCTCGAGCATATTTGTTGCGAAACTAAACCAAGCAAAGCCTTTCTCTTTGAGCCTGAGGGCACAACGTTTACCTGCACTCCTCCTCTGGGTGGAGAGATTAGGGGAGAGGGGATTACACATATATTTTGTAACGAATTACCAACTCGAAACAGCCAGCTGCTCTCCAATATGCTTAAACATAGTTCCTAGTGCAATTCACTCTGCTTGCTGAGGGTTGCATTTTAAACTAATCACCTGTTAGATACATAAGAAAGCATTTTCAGTTTTACCATTGTCACCATATGCCCCCAGAGAAATCAAACGTAAAATATATGTGACATTGTAATGCTCTTTATAATTTTAGGTTTAATGAGAGGCCCTATTGCTCTGTGATACTACAGGACCTTAAAACTCTTTAATCGCTTTATCTTTCTACCTCAGGCAATTATTATGCAATGTTTGTTATCTTTTGTATCTTGGAGCTCTAATCTATAGAAATTCTACAATGCTCCCCTATTCTTTAATTGGTCTTAAGAATATTGTGTTCAAAATTCAGAATTTTCATAAAAGTTATTCTAAGGGACGGAAATGCATATACCTCATGTATGTCTTCTAACTTTTCATTTAAGTTTCATTCAAGACATTGCGGTGTTCAAAATTTTGCTTTATTAATAGGAACACAAACAGATTTCTCTGCGGCATAGTTTTGAAATAACTTAATAAATAATTTTTTGCAGTAAAATAATTAACTCAAATTTGGCTGCCCTAAGGCAGAGGCAAATCTATGGACAAGGTGATGGAGGTAAGGTGGTGTAATTCAGGATGGCAGGGGGAGGAGGGGAGCGTGGTCACTTAAGAGAGAGAAAACTAATATTTTTTAAATAAATGGTTTTTCCTATTTATCTATGATTTTCCTCCTCCAACATCAGTTTTCAAACCAAGATGGAGGCAAAACTTGCAAAAACAAACTGGGTTATTAGTACTTACTTTGCAATAATCGTCATGAGAGGAGATGTAAAAATATTCATGTACTTGCTAGCTGGACGGTATGCTCTGTTTAGTCGAGCATTCAGCTCATGATCAAGTTCATTGAAATGTCGCAAATAGAGCCTTCCATACAGTGACCAACATCTTGATCCTAAACTGCCAGGTTCCCGTTTTATGACCTACATCACCAATAATTTTGTATATATATTGTCAAGAAAACATTTTATCAGTTGTTCCTCATTGAAAGGTTGATTTTCATTTATTTTTTACTCTAAACAAACAAATTCATCTAGTCTAAAAATTACTTTTAAGTTAATAATTGAAAAATAATAAATTAACTGGTTTAACATTATAACAAGTTTTGCACACAACCAAGGAATTGACTTATTTTATATATACATACTTTACACATAATTTCACATACCTCGGCATAATTAAAGAATGAATAAAGAATCTGCCACAGGAGGATAAGTGGGCACAGCACGAAGTTGACAATTCCCACCCACAGGATGTATTTAGACAGTTGTTGAGCCAGTTCTTGTCGTTTGGCTACTTTCTTGTAATCTTCCTTCAAATGCCAATTATTTTCAAATGGAGCCCAAGGACCCCCTGTACAAAAACCACAAAAGTTTGTTCATTAAGTTTCAGAACAGAACAGTGGCATTACCAGAAGAGAGGGGACAGATCATGGGTCTTCGGCCCCACCTCCACCCCCAAAGCCAATGATCCATATTCAAATAAGAAATACCTACTTAAGTTCAAGAAAGTAAAATATAGCAATTACTAATTTTCTGTAATAAAGTCATTCATGTCATTGCTAATGTTCTGAACATCAACTATAAATCAACAATTAAAAATACATTTTAAATGCAGGATAAATGAAAAATACTGAGTGAGTCTGCAAGATTCACTTGAATACTTGGGATGGTATTCTGCACATGCTAAATGCCAAATTTAGGGAATCAATGATCTTATCGCCCTGGAGTGTTTGAAGATGACCTAGATCTATGCCAAATATCAGCACTTTATCTTTATACTTATCATTAACGTTTAAGGAAATTATGACTAACCCATAAGAATACAAAGGAGACTGCTAATTTTTCTTACAGACCAGAAACTATCACTTGGTAATTTTATGCATTTGCTGTGAATTTATGTGGCACACAAAAATTGTTACAAGAGTCAGTGATGATTTGATTAGTTCAATAGGAAACAAGTAGTTGCCATTGCAGACAGGAAAAGCATTATATCTTACATTTTGAATAAGTTTGATAATTTACTCAATTAACTATTCAAAACCATTGGAATTTTTTAAGGACTTTCCTTGAGAGAGAAATCCCAAGAACCAATAATAAACTTAAAGATGAAATCTAATGTTAATGCAGTTAATGCTAATTTATTGTACTGCAGAAAAAAATAGTGTGTTTCATTATTTCTTGCAAAACCACTGAAAGTTCTATAAAAAACAAGCAATTTATTATTACATAAAATTGCATCACTTTATGTAGATATATGCTACACTTTATGAAAGAAAAGATCATGTTGCATTGTAATTAGTGCCAACTATAATTAATTTAAAGTTAATTTACTGAACATATTATAAACCTGAATTAAATTAGCCATCGTCATACAGAGCAAGTTGCTAGGTATGCTGCCTGTTCCTTTTTCCAGTACACCACACCAGTGCACATCTCTGTGCACAGAACATAAAACCTATTATTTGCTCATCATGTTTGAAAGCATTTTACATAAAAAATACTTCTACCATCTGAAGAATTGTGCATATATTACATAAAATTGCATCACTTTGTGTAGATATATGCTACACTTTATGAAAGAAAAGATCATGTTTCATTGTAATTAGTGCCAACTATAATTTATTTAAAATATAAATTATAAATAATAATTTGTTTAACATTGCGAGTTAATTTTTACAAGGGGGAGCCAAAAATAACCAGACTTAGAATGCACTGCTTTTCATGAATGTATTAGAGAGTTCTCCGGCTAGGTGGGGTTAATAGACCTCCATGAAACCACTGTCCAGACAGCGTCAGTTGATATGTGACTGTTTGATCATAGTGCTGTTTTTCGCTTACTCTTCTGGTGTTCCGCCTGCGAAATCTTGTGTCAGATTTAAAAAAACTAAAAATATGTTTAAATTTTGTTTCCTGCTCCAAAAATCAGCAGCAGAAACTTACCAAATGCTTCTAGAGTTTTTTAAAGAGGATGCCTTGAACCACACACAAGTTTTTGAGGGAGTTGGGTGCTTTAAATGAGGTGAGATGAGTGTTGACAACCATGCCCATTCTGGGCACCCTTCGGAACGTTCAGAAGAAACAGGAGTGAGTTTGAGCTCATGCTGGTGGATTTTGGCAAAGGATTTGCAAGTGAGATGTGTTGCCACTAAATTTGTTTGTCACCTTCTCACAGCGCATCAAAAAATTAATTCAATGAGCCAAGACTTGCAAAACGGGTGGTCTGCCATTCCCCACCTCCTGTATACCCCACACCTAGCCCCGGGTGATTTTTTTCTGTTCCCAAAAATGAAGAAAATCTAAAAGGAAAGCATTTTCATGATATGGAGGCAATGAAAACAGCTTTGCAAAGGGTACTGGACAATATCAAAGTTAAAAGAGTTCCAGAGGTGCTGCAAACAATGGGAAAAAAGACATGACAAGTGCATTGCATCTAATGCAGAGTACTTTGAAAGTAATTGAAGAAATTTTATAAAATAGATTATAAATAATTTTTTTATAACGACAGTCCGGTTTCTTTGAGGTCCCTCTTCATATATCATACATACATATGTATTTAAGTTATTAAGAATAAAAGGCAAATCTTTATGTCTATTTTTAAAGAGTTTTCAAGTAGTTTTTCAGGTCTATGTATCCTAGGATTAATTTACTGTTTTAATCAGTCAATATTGTTTTGGCTCTTAAATTAAACCATTAATAAACAGCTGTCAAAAGTTGAACATTAATGTTAAGAAATGCCCATTTTATAAGGTTTCATGAAAGATTAAAAATGTATTTGCTATTCAATGAAATGATCTTCAAATTTTATATTATAATGAAACCAGTGAGCAAACTTGGTAAGATAGAATAAATTCACAAAGAACAGAAGCATACTAGAAACAAAGAACAATACTTACAAAAAAGGAGTAGTTCCAAGTTATACTTCAAACCTCTTGTAAGATAAACAATTTCCCCAATGAAAGGTATCCGGATTTTTACAGGTAACAGAGACTTGTTAATCATCGCCACAAAATAATTTTTGAACCTACATCAAAGAATAGTTTTTTCTGATGAAGATGGTAATCATAAAAAATAATGAGAAATAACAGGACACTGGTTTTAAAATGAAGATATGACAAATATACATATGTGTGATTAAAACATTAGGAATAATCTTTAATCACCTGGCGCAAATAAAAAAGTAACACAAAAATGTATGAACACACAATACTTTCATATTTAGAACACTTAGAGGTGATGTTTACAACACACTGAAAATAGTTTTACTTTCATTTTCTGGGACAAACAAATCACATTAAACAGTACTTAAAAAACGTAAGACAGAACAAAAAATACATATGGATTCCAGAAACAGTAGCAGCATCAAAAGATACTCTTACATCACAAAAATAAAATTTTTAATGCCAAAAAAATTGAAATTCTTGAAGACATTACTTTAGTAATGGTTACTAACGTTAACCAACAAATGGAGCATTCGTAAATTAGGAAACACAAAAGTGATACTTTAATTTTATTTTACTACACATTTCCATTTAAATTGTTTTAGAAAATTCAAATGTCTTAGGACATCCTCTTCCTAAAATGACAATAATAATTACAAATGATTGTTAAAAATTAATAAAACACAAAGAGACCTACCACGCTGTTTTGTATACACTTCTTGTAATTTACCTGAGAATTCTGTGATAAATATCCAATTCAGATAGATCCTGCTTGTGGATACACATTTGTTGCTCACGTTGGACTTCACGAATTCGGCGCTGAACTTCACTCCAGGTCAAATTGTCAAGATCACTCTATTTTATACAAGCAAAGTATTAATTGTTTTTTCAAATAAATTCATTACATCTATTTCCACTAAATATTCACAGAGTTTTGTACATAAATATTTGAACTTGCACTAATTTTCTAGCAATTATTTTTGCACAGTTCAATTAAGAGCAAACATGCATATGTCATTAACAAACAAAACTTACATCATGAATTTTAAGAGCACTATTAAAGAAAGCTTTGATATCCCAAAATTGAAATGTATGATATACAACTTTAGCTGCTCGAAGAAACCAGAAAATAAGTGCCACAAATAGGCAGAACCATGCAAAAACACCTAAATTTCCAATACATTCATCTAATGGTAGAACTGCATCACTAAGGGAGACTTTATGATTAGTCCTATTATGACTGGGAATATCGTCCCTGAAAAAAAGAAAGCAAAGAAATAATAAAAATTATTTAAAAATGATGTTTTGATTGCTCAAAGGATTTACTGGCACAGCCAAGAATTGAACCCAGATCATCCAAAATATGCCCAGCTCAAACCATTTGAGCTTTTGAGACAGCCAGCTATTACAACAGCCTTTACGGGATATGAGCACCCTCAATAACATACTATACATTTCACTGCCAAACACCTGGAAAATTTCCCATGTAATTGTTGAACTTTTAACTCTGACCAGGTGGTGAAATGTATAGTATTAAAATTGTTAATTTTTCTGTCCCTGCATTTTACTAATGATGTATTAGGACAAGGAAGGGAAAGAACAAATAATCTATTGCAAATGTTTGTATTTCAATAATATAAATGTTAATAATATTAATAACTCACCTAAAGAGTACAGAATAATTTACACCACTAAATAGGAAAGTTGAAAAAACAACTATGAAGATAAACTGAAGCAGTTCTAAACCTTCTTGCAGCATCATACACGTAAAGCCATGCTTTTGATGGTAGTGGTACATGCGGGCAAAGAATGAATCCAAGTCTTCAACATGGTTCCAGCGAGCTGCTGGAACAAATTCAAAATGATTAATGAACGAAATGAATTCCATAACAAACCTATTACATTCAAGCACATATTTTCTGTCTCTAAAGTATATTATGGATTCTATTATTTAAACACTTTTTCATGAGATAATACTGATTATATATGTTGTTTGAGAACTGAAAAAGAAGTTCCACAAGTGAATAAATTTCATAATGACTTCTCATATCTAGATGCATTCCTAGTACTAGCAATTAAGAATTCAAATCATTTAATAATACATTTAAAAGCATTCTTTTGTCTATTTATGGATTGTGCATTGCAATATGTATATGTAGGTTACTAACAGATTGATGAATTGTGCATTGGCTCTGGCATCAAGCTTTCAAGTCAACCACCTTAATTCCCTGTTTAAATATTTAAAACAGAAATACACTAATCACTAGAATTTCAATTAACTAGCTTCAGAGATAGCTTATTTATGACAAAGAAATCAATGTCAGCGAAGTAAGCTCCGTTTGAAAAACTTTTCAAAATATACGACCCTCAAGTCACCTACACCAGGTAATTTGGAATAATTCACCCATACTTGCAATATGGAACTGAAATATTGGGATGTACATGAAAAGGAAATATGGACAGAATAATGAAACTGCAGAAAAGAGCTGTTAAGTACATACTCAACTTACAACCCATGTGTAGAAACTACTAAAGAAGAAATAAAATAATTACAGAAGCAGCACTACATTTACAGAGCAATATTATGAACAGAAAATAATACCAACATACACTTCATTCAAAATTAGCACATGTGCTCATTTTACAAACTCAAGTGCTGTAAATGTAAGAGGAAGGAAAAACTGTCACTGGGAATATTCTTCTAAATCATCAACAAAAGCCCTTCTAGAAAGTCTATAATAATACGTAATAAATTCCGAAATCATGTTAAGTCAGCAAACAAAAACCAATTTTAGAATCCTATCCTCTCATTCTCATTTGCCCCTATAGTTTACATAAATTTCATTGTAATTTTATTCTACTAAAATATAACCAATAGATAATGTATTCTTTGAATTATTGTAACATAATCGATTTTGTTTATTATTATATACAAATAATTCCTGTCATAATTTTTTAATATTACTGAAATTTCTTCATCATAAATTGTACTGGTGAATTAGGTAGGCAGACTATCTGTTCATGTTTGATCAGAAGACCTGATTGTTATTCTACTAGTTATCTCTGAGTAATACGTCCTTCTTTGCCCTTTTTTGTCCAAGACTTCCAACCTCCCCCCAAGGTTTCTTCATTCCCTTTTCTTTAAGACTTCGAGAAATAATCAATTTTTAAATTCAGATTTTCTGATGTATAGTTATAAATACAATAGTTAAATAATTACATTATAATGATTTTTTGATGTTGTGAATCTATCTCATTTCATGTCACAAAATTCCCATCACAATAATTAACCCCGGGGGGATGGGGGCATGCCCACCTCCCTGTTGTTTCGCCCTTGTCTCAATATTCTATGGATGCAGGCTAGGTAAGCTATCTCTTCTGATTCTTGTTTATGTCCCCTACTAGTCTTGGCCATCTTTTTAACATCCGTTGACAATCTAGCCTTGCAATTCCTGATATGTGACTTAGAAATTTCATCTGAGAAGCATCCAACATTCAGGGGTCTTTGTGTTTTAGTATCCATGCTTCTGAACCGTACAGTGGCGTTGATTTTGATGTTACATGGCACATTCTTATTTTAGTGGCAAATCTCTCACGAAATGCTTTTCCATTGGTTCTACTATATTTTTGAATTCTGCTTTCTAGGTCTTCAGTGTTTTGTCAAATAATGTTGCCAAAATAATTAAATCCTGACACTTGCTCTACAATTTTCCAATCAGGTATTTACTGTTTATTTTTATCATATTGGAAGTTTTTTAAAAATTTTTAACTTAATAATTTCTTAATCTATTTTTTTTATCATAGAATCTTATTTTTTAATTATCATGAAATTGACATTCATTGAAACTTGTGCATTGTAAGTCTACAAGCAATAATAATAATTATTATAATATTTTTTATAGATGTTGCTGTCGCCACTGTTGTTGAAGTCAATATGATATATTTCATTACAGATTTAATTCCAATCTTTTAATTTTATCTTCTGCAGAAATAGTTCTCACACCAAAATACTAACACAAGATATTAATTGAAGTTAAATATCCATATTACTAACATAAAGTAGATAAAATAATAAAATCAAATTGCTCGTATTACAAATAAATTGGTATATTTTTATTAAATGGTGATGCTTTTCATAACCATTTCAGTCACAGGACACACTGCTCTTTGTTTTTATGAACAGCTGATTGTGACTAGAATTCTTCATGTGCCAAACAGGTCATGAGATATAAATAACAACACAGTTGTTTCTTTGAATCTAGCCTCAACTTTGATGGGTACCAACTCCACAAATGATATAACAAAATCATAAATAAACACAGAAAAAAGGCAAAACTGTACTTTGCAATGATACAGTGTTTAACTTACATTTTCCACCTTCTGGGACCACATGAAACATCACACCACTATCTTGTGGTGTTTCTTCTTCTCCAATATCTGGCCCAAACGTTTGAAGAGGTTGATAGCTTGCTTCTAATGTTGCTGCCATGTTTCTACATAAAACAATAAACAAAGCATGAACTCCACATCATATGCAATATTTAATTCACGTATTGTTCGTCAAAGTAAATGTCCACGCTGTTAAAAGAAACTGCGTACTAAAACTTGTACTTTACTACTGCGCATATGTGATGTGAACAGCAGCTTCGGCGGCAGCAACATCACGCACATAATTCATTATCTTAGAATATTAGTAAACAATCCAACACAGTGTATTAAATATACTGAGAAGTCCAATGCTTTTGTTCTGTTGTGACGGATGACAGCTGATAAATGTAAACAATGCAAAAAATTTACCCAACGAAATTAGCCGTCGTCGTTTCTTGTAGAAAGATGAGCGAGAAGGTAGAAGCATTTTCTAAGTAGTCAACCTCCTAAATAAACCCATCTTCACAATGTTCATGTTCACAAACACCTCCATCGTCACATTATTCTAACTCCGTCAACTCACGATCATGATCACCATTCATGATTCTTTCTCCCACCCTTCCTCTTCGACTGGTCCTCGCACTCCCACCCAGCTCCCACCCTCTCCCATGCGCCAAACCTTGCCATTTGACTGGACGACAGCGCCGTCGCACAGGGGGAAAAGCGAACAATAGAGTTGCGCACAAATTGTAAGAATTCTGCTACGGATGCCGTTTATCACGTACCGTATTCTCTGTCGGGAAGTGTGACCATCTATTTCTTCGATTTTGACATGTTTGCACAGAATACTTTCAGGTTAAGAATTATCATAATTTGTTATTGAGATTTCATCAGAAGTTCTTTTTCCTTCCTAAGACATCGTCTCAATCAATAGTTTATATTTGTTTATAAACCTAGAATGTAGTCTTAAATAGCGTATACAGCCGGAAAATTTGGAGAAATTTTACACAACTATGGCCAGTTGTATATTCTTAAAGAAAATATCGGAATAGGGATTTAAAATTTGGAGAGTTACAATTAGCACCATCGAAGTTATCCCATTTTATACATTCATTGTTTTGCTTTCAGTTTTCCTTAAGTTCATCCACTTGAATGTACAAAAAGTAAAACAAAAATGAAAGATCCCCCTGAAATGTTTAAAAGCTATGGTGAAAACTGTGAAGACAACTTTCACCACCAGAATACTTTTAAAAAGTTATATCTGAATAATCAATTACAAATTGCTAACTCCCTGAGAGTACCAATATCGCATTATTCATTTGAATGAAATAGGTTATTTACTAGGGGTTTCGTTTCTGTTGTCATCGTAAAAACCGCGATTTCCTGGCTTCCTCCCTCCCTGTCATTTTGGTCCCCACTCCAATTCCCAAACACGTGTACGATTCCTCCATATTGTTTGTACGACGTAAACTTGAAAATATTTAAGGAAGGTACATTTAAAAAACTAAAGAAAACATTATTTGATAGTGGAATTTATTTAAGAGAGTATTAACTATTTAATTCATTCATTACTCCCAATTTGTATATTTTAATTCGTAAATATAAAACATTTAAACGAGATTTTTAAGATCTTGCTTTTAGCACTTTTTTGGGGGGAGGGGGAGAATTGAATTTACTCTCAGAGACAATCTTAAAAAATTTGTAATTTTAACTATTTTTTTAAATTTAATATAGGAAATACCCAAATATCATTTTCAAGTATAAGTATAAATTGTTTAAAATATTTTACAATCTTGCCTATTTTCAAGGACAAAGGTCCCTCCTGGGGCCTTGGGCCTGACAACTTTAAAGTTTCACTATTTATCACTCATCTATTAAATAATTAGCAGTTCTTACAACATAACATTGATTCTCTTTTTACTTGTAATTGTTATAAATAAAATTACAACAATTATTTTGCAACTATACCTACCAAGACCCTTTTTATAAGGTGGCTATTTGTTATTTTTGGTGCTGAGCAGAGATAGCGTTTTTTAATTTTTTTTATTTTTTTAGTTATTTAAGGTCGCATCAATTTTGAAACCACACTAATAGTTTTATCAATATCGAGAGTATCAGAAGTCGTAGAAGAGCAGTACAAGTACAGTAGAAGAACAATATTTCCAGATATTTAATTAAAGATCATTTGTAGATTTTGTGGCAACAAATGCATTAAATAATAAATTTGTAAATATTAAGATCAGACAAATCTCTTCTTGTAAAATTACACTAGTGAAATTTCTTTATGTTCAGAAGTTAAAATTAAATGTGCACTTCTGTGGTGAATTAATCTATCCACTCGATCACTACACTTGTATTGCCCACTACTGACGCTTCAACAGCACATACTTTATTGTATTATTTTTAACAGTTTTACAATATTATAATGATGCAATGTCTATCCTACTGTAACAACCAACACGCGCTGCGTAGGGAAACGCGCGCGGTTAGCGGCCCGGTTCTAGCTCAGTCCGGTCCACTCCCTTTACTCATATGATTCAGTGATGGAAGGCATTGTAAGCGAAAGCATGCATGGGCATTCAAAAAAACAATTTGTTACTGGTAAAAGACAATGTTTATTCCTGGACAGGGCTGTACCAGGGAAGTTACATCGATGAAAAGAGAATGGTGAGTAAAATAAAATAAAGATTAGAAATTAAGAAGAACTTACAACTAAAGAAGAGTGGTAACAAAAATTATTCTATAGCTACAATTACAAATTTGTCCCTGAGGACCTTTCTGTGCCTCAGCGCGCACCGCTTTAAAATAGTCTCTAAGGGTTTATTGGCCCTGATTACGTTGCCTGGAAACCCTCCGTGACAAATGTGCTCAGTAGGCCCTTGCGAGAGCGAGGCGCTGGTGAGCGGCCGGGATGTCCTTTCCCAAAATGCGGCCGGGGCACGCCTTCAGAAGGGCGTGGGGCTGGCGGCGTTGCGGCGGTCCGTGGCATCAGCGAAGGGCCGTCTGGAGGCTGCTTCGGCGTAGTCGTAAATGTCCGGGGTGTATTGACCCCCGATAACAAGTGCGGAGCACCCAGAGATTGTCTCTCGAAGCGTCTGCGGTTCCTCTCGAACAAATTTCAGCGAATGTGAATTTTTGTAGCTGATAAGCAGTGGCAAAGATTCGCCTATCCCCCGTAAGTGCCTTTGCACTTCCTCTCTAATAAACTTCAAGTGAATGCCAGTCCTAGAGGTGCACCCACTCTCTCTCCGCGACCGGCTCCCACCCCAGAGAAGTCTCTCTGTCCTAATGTCACTTTGTTTTTCTGCTCCACGTACGAGGTTACTCTTCTCCCCACCCTTTCTCCTCATGTTCTATGCTCCCTAAAAAGATCGCTTCGCTATTGGCTAAAGGTGATGGCGTTGTACACTAAATTTGGCCAATAGGGCTCCGGCGAAGTATAGAATTTTTCCGTTCTGTTTCGAAAGTGGGTCATGTCTCTAAGGGTGCTTCCCAGCTACTGAATTATTGCTTTGGGATTCCCCGATTACGATGACAGCGTTTCGGAAGTATTCTAGCTGTGGCTTTCGCTGGCGCTTTTCAGTTTGACCCCTTTTGTTCGGTTGTTGGTGGGGTGCCATAAACCTTCGAAATGGGTCAGGGGACCGTGGCCGTTGCAAGAAAAGGGGCTGCGCTCGTGCACACCGTATGTTTTTTCTTCAGTACAAAATTCCTTAGGTCTGATTTACTCAATAGAATTTATCTGAAAAATTCTGTACCGCTACACTACTAATGTTCCAAACCTCCCTCAAAAACATCTTCAACAAACAAAGCACGGGATCAATAATATCTCCATTTTTTTTTAAATCAAAAGATTGAATAAAAACGGCCCTAGGAAAATTGAACTCAGTGTAGAGTACCCAATCTTTAAAAAAATTAAATAGTAAAATTTGGAGCCATTTTTTAAATAATCTTATTTCGGTATTTGTTGGAAAGTTTCTTGAGTTTCCTCAAAATTAAATGAAAACTATTTACATTTTGGAAAAAGTGTGCATGAAATTATTTGACGTTATTTTGAGGAATAGACTTCGTTTTAAAAATCTATCTTTAATAATGTAGTTGAAGGTCAAAGTTTAAAAAAAAATTAAAATTTAAACATTTCAAAAGGTATTAATGAAAAGTGTATCTAACTCATATGCCTATGCTTAAGCCTATTCCGGAACTTTGTTCTATTCTAGCCAAAAAAACTAGTGGTGCTCTCAAAGAACATACTCTCTTGCATTGTTCTAAATGATCCGCAATTCTATACTTGTACATAAACTAGCAATTCTTTTCTGTGCTCTGAGACTCGAACTCGTATCTTCAAAGTTAACTTGCCGGCACTCATATCACAACGCCACACAACCCTAAGTGTTGTACATGTTTTTGCTCAGAAGGTAGTAAAAGGAATGGGAAGAAAATATCGCGACCCGTTAGGTAGGGTGCTGCCCAGCGTAATTTCCTAGAGTTGATCAGAGAAATCACGGAATGCTATGGATCAAAGCAGCCGGCCGCTAGAATTCTCGTCTACACAGCGACCTAGCTATCTGGCTAGTGTCGAAAATATTGCCATCGTCAAGATTCGGACCTAGGACCTCCCGGACAGTGACACTACAATGATATTAGTTGATGCCCTGAGACACCTCTCCCGGTCTGCCATTAAGGATACCTAACTCGATCCCACGGGTGAGTATGTATTATATTTAAATTTCATGTTCATTGATTAATTAGTTTACTTAAATCGGTTCATACAGATGCACAGGAAAACAATTTTACAGGTCGTAAAAGAAAGTTGAAAAATGTCTTTAAAAGTTGCAAATTACAAAACCACGGACAGACACGTCCGGTTTATTTGTGTGTATTGATTGCATTTGTGAGTAGAAATGCTTCAAATGATTTTCAATAAAGATTCTCAAAATCATTACGGAGTCGAGAAATAGTAAAATGTGACGAAAAAAAAGAGGGGGAAAAGGGTTTTCGGGCGACAAAAGAAGGCAGCCGTGAAGGGAATAACGCACACCGGGAAAGCTATTCCAGACTAGAGAGATTAGAAAACTAACTAGGGCGAGAAAGTATTTGCCATTCTGTAGCACTACTAGTTTATTTATTTACCATACTCAGTTACATATGAA